AAAAAAAAAAAAAAAAACCTAAGATAGAAAGAAACCTGAAAAAAGAACTCTGGTCAATGTCGGATTCTGAATGAGATTTTGCCTCGCCTATTGTTGGTTTTGCTCTATCAATGCCTCTTCAGTTCCCTTTCACAGTGATTGAATTAGTTTCGGACTAAGAACTGCAAAAACAGAACTGTAGAGCAAATACTCAAGTGAAGAAGAGAAGGCGATGATCAAATTGTAAGAAAGCAGTGACTCTGTGGGTATAAAAGAGGAAAAGCTGGAGTGGGGGAACCTGGGACAGAGCTTTTGTTGTTTGGCGGGAAACAACTCTCTATCTCTCCGTCTTAATGTCCTAACACCCATTTCCAGGATTTGGGCTTCTTTATTTTTTATGTGGCCCCTTGATTTTTGAGGTCCAAGGCAGTGGCCTTGTTTGCCTTGGGCTAGGGTCTGGGCTGTTCTTAGATGTTTATTATTATTTTCACCGACTTTTCAATTAATTATCTACTAATTAAGATGATTAATTGGAATCTATTATTATCGAGAGAGATAATAGGCTTTTAGCTACAAATAATAAACATTGTAAAGTCCGATAGAGGATAGATACATATCTCTATACTTTACATTGTTTTCATATGTGTTCTAAATCTTTTAATGCATTTATCACGTTCGCATCTTTCATCAAGAGATATGAAGACCATATGAGGTGAATAGTTTTGATAACTATCGAGAGATGTTATCAATTACATGAGGAATATTGCCAACAAGAATGATTACAAATTGTCACTTTAATTTGCTGTGCTAAAAATGGATTAACAATGGGGATTCAACATGTTAGCAATGCTTTCACATATTTAAAAAAAATAAATTAAATCGCTTTCTAATTTAATCGATAATTTTGATATTAATATAGAAAACTCAAAACTTATTTGCTATTCGATTAAAGTTGCTATTAATTTGAACTCGATTGAATACATAGTTCTCGTGGATTCGACACTCTACACACTACTATATTACTTGTTCACGATCTCGTTCACTTGTAAAAAATCAAACGATCAATTTTTTTGCGCCGTTGTCGGGAACTATTGTTTTTGGTAAGTTTAGTTAATTTTAACTTTAATTTGAAATTTACCTTTTTTAGCTCATTATATTAGAAAAACTTTATAGTGTTTCTTGCTTCATTTTTCAAGACATTGTATGCGAAGTTTGAGAGCCGATGATCTTGCTCAATTTGACCCGAAGATCGAAAGAACATTCAACTTTGGAAAAGATAACAGTTGGAAACACACTAAAAACATAAAGAAGAAGACATGGCAGAGAAAAATATGAATCAAATAGTCATCGGGAAGCAGCACAATCGAATGTGGCTGCAACTGATGAAAATACAAGGCTAATGGGAAGTATATGGTTTTACGAGTCTAGCATAGTATATCAGGCATTTGGTCAGTCAAACTTCCACCTGAGAACTGATGTGATCTACATGTTCCAAAACACGCAACAATTCTTTGGGAGAGCTACGGAGAATCCCAACGCTCATATATCAAGATTTATGGATATGTGTGCAACTATCAAGTATCCAGGAGTGTCAAGTAAAGCAATCAAACTAAGGCTTTTCCCATATACATTGAGAGACCAGCCAAAGAGTGGTTAGACACTTATCCACTTTAGAGCATCACTACATGGAATCAATTGAGTTAGGAATTCCTTAACAAATATTTCTCGTCAAAAAGGATTGCAATGCTAAGGGATGAGATTACCTCAACACGGATTGCAGAAATGGTTTTAGGTGCAGTATTTCTACATTGATCGAATCCGATAGGTAGGGCTAACACAGACTCTACATGTGATGGATCTATTACAAAGAACCGCGGATCAAGTCTACCAAATCATGGAGGATCTGGCATTCATCAGTGCACTTTGGCCTACTAAAAGTATGAGTGGAAAGAAAGTTGTTGGGGTATTCGAAGTTGATTCTTTGACAGTAATTTCAGCACAGTTGGCATCATTGGCATATAAGGTTGATCAGATGAACGCAACCCAGACAATGGGACCCAAATGTAAGTGTTATGGAATGAATCATGAAAGTGTTGATTATACCTAGGTAGTCCTTTTACTCAGTCAATAGAGGATGTAAATTATGCTCAAAATTTTCTCATGGGTGAATATATGGTTCTACCGATTGTGGAAAGCTAATCTAGCATAGTATATCCTGCGTTTGATCAGGCAAACTTCCACCTAAGGATTGACGTGATCAACATGTTCCAAAACACGCTACAATTCTTCGGGAAGGCTTCGGAGAATCCCAATGCTCATATATCAAAATTTCTGGACATGTGTACAACTATCGAGTATCCAGAGGTATCCAACGAAGCACTCAGACTGAGGCTTTTTCCATACACATTGAGAGACTCGGCCAAAGAGTGGTTAGACACGTGTCCACCTCAAAGCATCACTACATGGAACCAATTGAGTCAAAAATTCCTTAACAAATATTTCCCTCCGAAAAGAATTGCAAAGCTAAGGGACGACATTACTACATTTCAACAACTAGACTCAGAATGCTATTCAGATGCTTGGGAACGATACAAAGGTTTACTCCGCCAATGCCCACAACATGGATTGCAGAACGGCTTTAGGTGCAATACTTCTACATTGGTCTGAATCCGATAAGCATAGCTAATGCAGACTCTTCATGCAATGGTTCTATCACAAAAAGAACCACGGATCAAGTCTACCAAATCATGGAGGATCTAGCATTCACCAGTACACTTTGGCCTACTAAAAGGACAAGTGGAAATAGAGCTGCTGGGGTATTCGAAGTTGATTCTTTGACAACAATTTAGTACAGTTGGGATAATTGGCAATGAGACCAAAATGCAAACATTGTAGAGGAAACCACGAGAGTGTTGATTGTAATGTAGGGTGGGGTCTCCTTTTGTTCAGACAGTGGAGGATGTGAACTGCACTCAAAATTTTCAAAGGCAACAATACAATTAAAATCCTAACATTTACTACCCAAGTTGGAGGAATCACCTAGGTTTCCAGTGGATCAACAATCTAGGAGCTCAAATTATGCCACAGCAGACTGCACCACAAGGTTTTTAGCAAACTGAAAATAAATCTTCGTTAGAAGATCTTGTTACTAAATTGTTGGAGATATCTAACTAATACATGCAAAGAACAGATAAAACCTTACAAGTTCCAAACGGTAGATAATCAGATGGAACAAATAGCGAAATCACTTTTAAAGAGACTACTAGGAGTATTTCTCAGTGACTCTAAGACAAATTCCAAACAGCAGATAATGGTAGTGAAGGTTGTGGAGGAAGAATAGATTGGGGCAATAACTTCCTCTAGTGGAGTTTAACTGCCTGATATTAATGTAAAGAGACCAGTTACTATAAAAGAAAAAGTACATACCACGGTTGAGGAGCAGGTGGATGAATCTTAGTAGAACAAAGAAGCAGAGACAGAAAGAGCATCAAAGGATCCAAAGGTTAAGAAAACCGCTCCTACTAGAGAATTTGTGCCACCACTACATTTTCCATAAAGACTGCAAAAGAGAAAACTCGATGATCAATTCGAGAAGTTTTTGGATATGCTCAAAAAACTCCACATCAACATCCCATTCATCGATGTAATCCGACAAATTTCAATGTATGCAAAGTTCTTGAAGAACATGATATCTAAGAAAATAAAACTTCCAGACTGGGAAGAAGTCGCATTGACCGAGGAGAGCAGTGCGAGACTGCAAAATAAATGCTACTAAAACTCAAGGACTCAAGGAGTTTCACTTTACCTATTTCATTAGGTAAAAAAATTCATTTTAATACTTTATGTGATACATGTGCAAGTGTAAATTTAATGCATTTGTCTACTTTTAGGAAACTAGGAGTTGAGGAAGTCAAATGATCGAATATGACGCTGCAGTTGGCAAATAAGAGCATCAGATACCCATGGGCCAAGGTTGAAAATGTGCTCATCAAGGTTGGGCAGCTGATATTCCCAATGGACTTCCTTGTTATGGATCTCGAAAACAGCCATGATATGCCATTTATCTTAGGTCGACCGTTTTTAACAAGAAGTTGAACTTTGATTGATATGGAGAATGGTGAACTGACTGTGAAGGTGGAGGACGCACGTAAGATTTTAAATTACATAATCCACCCAAGCAACTATTAGTCCTGGAGGAGGCCAAATATGTTGTTGAAGAAATTCATCAAATGTCGAATGAGACAAAACTTAAACGTTTAGGGAGCCTTGCTAGAGAGGATAATAAAGAGCTCAAGGTTTGGAGGGCACAAAGAGGATGTAAAGCTGGAAATTGCAAGGGCTGTAAGGCTACAAGACTCCGCATGAGCCACCACGATCAATTTATTCATACAGTCTAGCTAAAGACTATAAATGAAGTTTTTATTGGGAAGCAACCCAATTTTCTAACCCTTTTATTTATTCTGCTTTCTATACCGCGTTGTATATAGATTTATTTTGATTATTAGTTTGCATTATACTTAGGCTCGTTAAACCAACATAAATCAAGGAGAAAATATGATGAAAAAGATTGTCTAACCGTCACACATAGTGCCTCATACTTTCAACAGAAAAATTCAAGGAGTACCTTCTTCCCCTTCTTCTTTTCCGTCCCCTTATATTTTTATTTATACTTTATGATATTGAGGACAATGTCGATTTTAAGTTTGAGATGGAAAAACTTTTGAATTTTTACTTTTCGTGTGTTTTTAGTGTATGTGTGTTTGTTTTTCGTTATTACTTTAATATGTAATAGAAAAATAAAAAAATTTGAAAAAAAATTCAATAAATAAATAAATATAAATATAAATATATATAGTTTTTTTTTATTTTTTATTTTTAGGTTGTGTATTTGTGTGTGTTAGATAATCTAGCTTGTGATGATGATTAAATTTGAAATTTGATGTTGGTTTATAAACTAATGATAGGATGCATGCTAGATTGATTGAGACTTGACCCTACAAAATTTGATATATACACGCACTAGAATTGAGTTTTTCATCATGATGCAATAAGTTGATTCATGAGTTGGATATGTTGATAGATTGAACATGGATGCTATTCCAAAACTATCATATATTAATGATCCTTAAACAAAATTTAACATAGTTTGAGAATGATTTTACGGTTGTAGGAAGATACAGATGTTAATTGAGATTCCTTATGTGAAAACTTATGTGTGGATTGTCTTAAATTAATAGGATAAAATTGGGCAAAAGTCTTATGTTAAAGGTCAGTTTGATTATATAGATGTTTAATGAGGGGTATTGCACTAATCAGAGTAGAAAACATATAGGAGACATCTCTTCGAAACCTTTTTCATTTGGATTATTAAACTTGTAAGGGTGTTTAAAACATGATACCCTAAAATCACCTGACTTGGGAGTCATCGGCCTAAAGCCTGTTATATGGGTTATTTAGAAAGTTTAAGGAAAATAATGTAAAAAGAAAAATACTTTTGAAAATCAGAAAAATAAAGTACATAAAAAAAACACTAAATGTATTGGTTAAGCTCCAAACACTTGTTTGAGGGAATTTGAGTTTTGATGAAAGATAATTAGCCTAATTGAGTTTTGGAGGTCGAAGCAATCAAAAAAATTGGAGAATTCTTATTTATTGATGTGTTGACTTACAATTGTACAGTCCACCTGAACTAGAGAGTGCGATGATAGTAATGAAAAATTCGACCTTAAATTACACACTGGAAAAATAGTAAAAAATGAACAAATTTGGAGATGTGAATCATACGAGAGGTGACATGATATATTTGACCACAGAGGGGTCGGACATTGAAACAACTTGTAAAGTCATGATTGTCTACTTAGTTCTTCACACACACACGTCGGTTTTGCATTTGAAGAGGGGGATATTGGTTTAGTAATATGACTTTGAAGCAGTTTGTAGATTTAGTACTATAATTTCAAATACTAAGATAAAAAACTAGATTATCTAACTAAATATTTTTACATGCTTGTGTGTTTGTTGTTATTTACGTTATAATTTTGTTTGGGGACAAACAAATATTTAAATTTGAGGGTATCTTATAAGTGTATTTTATAAGTTTATTCGGGGTTTAAAATAATGATATTTGATAGTTCTTTTGACAAAATATATTCTAAATTATTGTATTTTATGTTTAATAGGTGAAACTTTATAAATGAAAAAGGAATTGAAGGAAAAAAGTAAGAGGTGACGAAAAATGACAAAATCCAAATTACGGGTACTAAATTGGCATTGGTTGCACAATTAAGTGGATTCAAGATTTGAATTGCATTATATTAAAAGAATTGAGGAATTAGAGAAAAAATAATTTATTAATGGGCCACAAATTAGGGGCTGAAATTGAAGAGAAATATATATACGCACACTGGCTGACAAGAATGGAGGAATTGGCGGCTGTTGAGGTTATATTATATACCCACATTGGCGGCAAATTAAAAGGGCAGAGATTTGCTCATATACATTGGCCGGTAGCTTTTGAGGAGCAAAAAAGGATTATATATATACATGCATATATAGAAAATGGAGAACACACACACATAGAAAGAGAGAGAAAACAGAAGCAACAAAAAAAAAGAAAAGAAAAAAAGAAGGAGACGCATACACGCAGGAAGAAAAAGCAAAAACGACAACTTCAATTTGGAGAATTAATCACGCTTCGTCAATTTGTGGTGATGTCATTCCACTTTTGTGTGTTTAATTTCGACATTATATTATGCTAGATTTTTACATTACTAAGATATATATGAACCCTTATTTTGAAATTTTTAATAGTAATTAATTATTTTGACGACTGATATATTTATTTTCTTGGATGTTTATTGTTGTTTCCATCGACTTTTCAATTAATTAGTTACTAATTAAGATGATTAATTGGAATTTATTATTATCGAGAGAGATAATAAGCTTTTAGTTACAAATAATAAATACTGTAAAGTTCGATAGGGGATATAGATATACATTTATACTTTACGTCATTTTTATAGGTGTTATAGATCGTTTAATACATTTATCATATTCGCATCTTTTATCGAGAGATAGGAGGATCATATAATTTTGATAACTATCGAGAGAAGTTTTCAATTATATTAGGAATATTGATTAATAAGAATGACTACAAACTGTTACTTTAATTTGTTGTGCTAAAAATTGATTAATAAGGGAGATTCGACATTTTAGCAATACTTTCACATATTTTTAAAAAAATAAGTTAAATTATTTTCTAGTTTAATCGATAATTTAGATATTAGTATAAAAAACCGAAAACCTATTTTATATTCAATTAATATTACTATTTCTTTGAACTCAATTGAATACTTAGTCATCGTAGGTTCGACACTCTACACATAACTATATTACTTGTTCACTTGCAGAATATCAAACGATCAGGACTCCATCCGTTATATGCTTGCCACGTAAATAGTCCCCCAAATTTGAGTTGTACATTTATGTACGGGTCGGACTTTGAAATGCAAGTTGTTAAGTAGGCGAGTCTTACAGATTGTCTAAAAAATATGAGTAGCTCTATAAATGAGGGCTTACTAACTGCCTTGAAAATATGCATCGATCCCAAGTAGGGGAGAACTTACGAATTGCCTCGAAAATATGCATCGATCTCAAATGGCTTACGA